TGTATTTCCATGTAGGAACGTGACGTGTGCTGAATCTATAGTTGTAGGCGTTCTTAAGGCTATGGTGGCTTTGGTCAGAAATAATATAGGGGTCTTAATAATTACCTATACTATTTTGGGTGTTCCTTATTATGCTTGTAGTATAGCATACACCAAAACCCTATATATATATATAATAATAATTATTATTAAGGCCCCTATACCCTAAACCCTTACGGTAGACCTTACAGAGCCCTTTAATGAATCAGTTAAAGGAGCCCCAAAACCATATTCTAATTATGAAGGCCCCTAAATTATTCACGGTTGGATGTCTCCCCAAGCTGAAGAGTATGATGAGAAACCCGAAACCTCGAACCCCGAACCTGGCCTTTTAATGCGAAAGCCCCTCCTAAACCCTAAACCCCAAACTCTAAACCCCCAAACCCTAAACCCCAAACCCTAACTATCTAGATCTTGTAATGTCGAAACCTGGTTAAGACATCCTGGGTTTCTTTATGGTTTGTGAACACGGATCCTAAAGTCTGGGTTTTGATCGGTTTAGGGTTTAGGGTTTAGGGTTTGTTTACATGGATCCTAAAATCTTGGGGCTTTTGGGACCCGGGTTTCTTAATTTAAGACATCCTGGGTGTTAATAGGTTTTGTTTACATGGATCCTAAAGTCTTGGGGCTATAGGACCAGGGTTTCTTAATGCAGATTCCTGCATTAGCCCTGGACCTGGCAACCCTGAACTGAGCTCTAAACCAATGCCCCCTCAAGCCTAAACCCTAAACCCTAAACCCCTAAACCCTAAACCCTAAACCCCAAACCTAAACCCTCATCCCTCATCCCTTGTCTGCAGGACATACATTACGGAGGCTTGCCCTGGGAGGGGGCCGGCAACTCGGGGAATGGCTGCTGTTGATTTCGGTGACAGTGCCAGTACCTGTTAAAGACCGTTCCCCCCTTAGCCCTAAAACCCTAAAACCCTAAAGCCCTAAACCCCAAAACCCTAAACCCCAAAACCTTAAACCCCAAACCCCAAAACCCTAAAAGCCCTAACTCCTAACCCCCCAAAAGCCCTAAACCTTAAATCCCTAACCCTAGAAGCCCTGAACCCTAAACCCGTGTAAAATGCAGTGCGTTTTTCTGCTCAGGCAGTCATAAGGTGAGGGTTCGAGGTGCAGTCACCCAGAGAGGGAAAACCCTGAACAACTGCAGCGGCGACCTTAAACCCTAAATCCCTAAACCCTAATCAGGGTGTTGGGTTTCGGGTTTAGGGTAATCCCTAAATCCCTAAGCCGTACAAGCCCTAAACCCTAAACCTTAAATGATTAAAGCCTAAGCCCTAATCCCTAACTCTAAACCCTAAACCCTAACATAGTGTCTGTGTCTTAACTAGCAGGTCCAAGGTTCGTCGTTTCGGCTTGGCTTGAGGATTTCAGGGGCCCTAGAAACAAAAACAGCCATAATGTAGGGGCCTTAACAATTACTTATATTATTTCTGATCCTGGGGTTCCTTTTTGTAATTATAGTATGATGGGCCCTGAAGCCCTATTCTAATTACTAAGGCCCCTATATTACACAATCTGGGAAGCCTGCTGACATCCGAGCAGAGTTCAAGAAGCCCTAAACCCGAAGCCCTTAAGAACTTAAGTAAGCCTACCAAGTCTACATGGCTTATATCATTCATACAGAATGGGTTTGTGGCCCGGAATGCCAGAAATCTTAAAGCATGAAAGAGGCCTTAGTATGTAGCGATATGAAGGCTTCGAGCTTTGCAGCTATTTACCCTAAACCTGAAACCCTAAACCCCGAGGACACTGATCGTCCGACCCTTTATCTATGAACAAAAAAAGCTCTAGGCCCTACGCTTTTTGACGCCTTACACCTTAAAGCCCCAGATCCACAATTCAAAAAGATTTCTTGTGGAACCCTTAAAGAACAATCAGAACTCGAACCCTTTTAACCCTGAGCGCAAGTTTTACATCCTACAGTCCTAAACCTAAAGGGTGGCTTCAAGAGGGGTATATAACCCAAGAATCCCTCTAGTACCCTCCCGCCTTAGAACCCCATCTCTTCAGGAAGCCCTAAACCCTAAACCACCCCAAACCCCAAACCGCTTAAACCCAGAGCCATATAAGCCTTCCCAGGGCACCTGTCAAGAGCTTGCGGAAGCACTCGCGCGGAGTCTACGGCATCATGAAAGCTCCTAGGAGAGGATGCTTTCTGAGGGTTCTTGTAAGGGCACCACAAGAGTGATCAAGGGCTCCACGAAGGTACGTTTAGGGTCTATCTATATAAGGCTTTGTAAGGTGTTATCATGGCTTTTTCGGGGCACCATAAGCTGGTTTTAAGGTTATCGAAGTGGCGGCTTTTAGGAGACTCTAATTAGTGGCTCAGGGTTTGGAGTCTAGAGTTTTTACAGGGTTTATGGGCTGTAGGCTGCGTTTCGGAATTTCGGTATTTTTTGATTTAGGGTGTAAGGTACTCGGGTTTAGGGTTAGGGGTTAGGGTAATCGGGTCTACCTGGACCCGAAATTCACCTAGCTGTAGGGGTTTGGGGTTCAGGGCTTTGGGTTTAGAGTTTAGGGTTTTGAGGACTCATACAAGGAAGTCAGAATAAGGAGCCCCAGCAAAGGTAAGAAGGTTTAGGGTTTGGGGTTGAGCGGCCATGGAACATGCCAGAGTAGAGCTTTGAAGGGACCGTAGGGTTACGGTAGAGTATAGGCTGTTGCCACTTTGTCCCTCCCACAGCTTTAATGGGGAAGCAATTTGAGGCCGATGTTCAGTGCATACTATGCCGTGCTTATAGGCTTGGTGAAGTTTAGAATTTAGGGTTTCAGAATCCCCATCACGTCCTCTGTTTTGAAACCTCAAACCTCGTGAGCCCTATTTTCGTGTCCCAAGCCCTAAACGCTATAAAATCCAGGCGCTAAAGCCCGAAAGCGGTAAGAACCGCAGGAACAACTTCCTCTTACGGGTGCGGCAAGTCCCCCTTGAGGCGCCTGCTACCGAGATTGTCAGGTGCGGGATTTTCTTGGGGGAAAGGCATTTCTTGGACATTCCCAAAGAGTCCTAAGTACCTGTATGGGGGATACTTGCCCAAACCATAGTAGCAGTTCATATATAGAAACCCTACAGTCTACGATATAGGTACTTAGGACCCTGTAAAATTTGTTTCAACCCCCGAAACTTGGATTAGGGTTAGGGTACTGGCATGGTGTATCACTGTATAGCTGTTCGGGAGTGTGGTGAGTGTCTAATTGAAGAGTCTCTGTGGACTCTAGCAACTTTGCCTGAAATACTTCATATGCATAACACCAATACAGGCCAGTATCCCTGACTGTGACGCCTACCATGGAACCCCTGCAGTTGTCGGAAGCCATAAGAATCATATCATACAAGCCTCATCTCCTAAACCCTAAATATACAAACCCTTGCCCAGAGCCCGTAGGAGGCTTGTAATGATCTCCTCCGAGACTTGTTTGCAATGGGCCCCCGAGAGAGTCCCGCATTTGGGGTATCCAAGCAAACCTTCGGTGAGAAGGAGTCCCGACAATGATGAAGATGTAGGTTTGGGGGGTTTGGGGTCTACCGTAAGCCCTGAACCCTCAACTTCGGGATTGTGAGAATCGTTTGGTTCTGTGGTTGTCGTTGGCCCTTGCGCCAGGAGTGGTTCCACCGGATGTACATCTACAACAAGGCAACACGGCTTGCATGGGGCGTTTGGGGTGTATTGTAGGAACCTGAGTAAGAAACCTTGGGACTTTATTCAAAAGGTTTTTAATGGATCCGAATGTTTCTGTGTTATAGCACCAAGCTTTATTTGTAGGGTTCAGGCAGCTATCACAACAACAACAACCACTACTACTGCTATGTTTATAGCGACCGCTGCTACTGCTACTACTAACTACTACTACTACTACTACTACTACTACTACTACTACTACTAATTACTACTACTACTACTACTACTACTACTACTACTACTACTCCTACTGCTATTGCTATTGCTACTGCTACTGCTACTGCTACTGCTACTGCTACTGCTACTACTGCTACTACTGCTACTACGTCTACTACGTCTACTACGTCTACTACGTCTACTACGTCTACTACGTCTACTACTACTGCTGCTACTACTACTACTACTACTACTACTACTACTAACACTAACACTACCACTAACACTAACTCTAGCACTGTGACGCTACGTAGCACTAATACAGTTACTAATCGTAGTACTACTGCTAGTCCTGATACGAGTGTGAGTACTAATGCTAAGGCTACTAGTAGTACTAATGCTATATAATTCTAATGCGTATACTACTGTAGTACAAATACAAGTACTAATACGAATGCGAAATGCAAATATTAAATGTCATACTACCTAATAGGTTTAAGGTGACCATGGTATTGCTGATCATAGAGATCAAAGGGTGACATTTCAACGAAAAACGACGATAAGATCAACATCAATGGTACGATAGTACTGGTAAGTAATTAAATTAGGTGGTCACATACGTGAGCCCGTAGGTTTCTTGCTCCATACTTTAAACCTTTTCAGTCGGACCCGAGTATCTGACAACCCTAAGCCCTAAACCCTAACCCCCAAAACCCTAAACCAAAAACCCCAAAGCCCTAATCCCTAAACCTTCCTAAACCCTATAAGCCCTAAACCCTGAACCGGCAGCTCGAAACCGTGGCTTTTTTTTCCCGGTGGGCCTGTAGCTGCTCAGGCCCTGCTTTAAAGTTGTGCTGACGTGGGCCCGACCCGAATCGTTCTAGCCCCGAAACCCAGAGCATGCCTTCTCAGCAAGACCGGTCGACAATTGGTTCAATGGAGATTGGCGTAACTCTAAAAACCCTAAACCTAAAACCCTAAACCCTAAGCCCTAAACCCTAAAACCCTAACTCCAAAAATTCTGTAAAACCCTAAGCCCTAGCACCCTGCAGGCCCAGACCGCCCAAACCCCCCTAAATACTGAAACACACTGAACCCTTTAGTGCCTTAGTGGAGATGGGCCTTCACCCATATGCGCTGACGCTGGCCTTCTTTGTCATGCTCTTCATCTTCGAACCACGCGCGAAGTTGATCTCCACCGTCGCTAGAAGAAGCTGGCCTGGATGTGGAAGTTGGGTTAGGGTTTAAGGCTGTGCTGTATCAGGGTTTGGGTTTAGTATGCCGGGAGTTTTGGTCTGCGGATGTGGCAGCTGCAGGGGCTTTGGGCTTTAGGCTTGAGACAGCAAGGTAGTAAGAAGCAGCTAAGGCACGGACAGTGCCGAAAAGCGCGAGCAAAGGGCAGGGGCTGAGCTCAGTTCCTTGATCTCTGAAGGGTCATCTTCATCTGCAACCTGCAAGGGGCCGAAGCTGATTATTCATGTTGGGCCGCCAAAAACAGGAACAACGGCCATCCAAGAATTCCTGGTGAAAAATGCCGGCTGGCTTCATGGGGCGTTAGTGTGGGTTTCCATGGCAGTGGCAAGGCAGTTGCCGAGTACATTGTGCATCCACTGACCTACTTCTGCAGCTTGGATCTGGATCGGTTTAGGGTTTAGGGTTTTAGGGTTCAGGGTTCTCTTGGATCTTGTTCCTCAGGTATAGGAGGCATTGCCGAACAAAGGTTCGGTGTTGTTTGAATTTTCTCGTTGGTCACCTCTGAGCGCAGGCAATGGGAAGACGGCATTGTTGAAATCCTTGCGGCTGTCAGAGGAGAAAGTGAAGCAGAAACTGAAAGACGGGCTGGGCTTTCTCCAGTCCAAGCTGAACTCATCTCAGCTGGTGGTCTTGTCCAGTGAGGGCTTCCAGATATTCGATAACAAGTCGTGGCAGTGCTTCAGATCAGAAATTAGGGCAGACACCTGCCAAACTGCAGTGGTGTTTCACCGGAGCTCTGCTACCTGGAATGCAGCACGCTGGTCACAGGGCTCCAAGCACGACAGTGCGATGGTTGAGTTATCAGTATACTTGTCCATGCTTTCGTTTTTTAAATTCCCAAGCTTAGCTGCCATGTCGAGGATATAACGTTGGGTGTGGTTATCTTGTCCTTTGGTGAAATTTATCTCGGATCCTGAACCAACACCCTTACTCAGCACCAATGGCCACATGCTTGTTAGCGTCTGCTGCGCACAGAGGTATATGAGCTCCACAAACACGAAGACGTCAACTTAATCCACAATTCCACGATCTTCCTAAACACTGGCAGGATATTGAAGCCTAATAATTACCAGCATTATTCCCCAGGGCTACTTATTTTCTACTATACGTCAGATACCACAAACCTCTTCTAATTATTAACCCTGACCCCTCAACCCCAAACCCCGAAACCCTGAACCCCTAAATCCCTAAACCCTAAACCCCCAAACCCTAATCCCTAAATCCGAAACCCCCAAACCCTAAACCCCTAAACTCCTAAAGCCTAAACCCAACCCCTCAAACCCATGAGCCCTAAAGCCCTTCTTTTGTTAGGGTTTAGGGTTTAGGGTTTAGGGATCCTAAACCCTAAACCCTAAACCCTAAACCCTAAACCGGGGGTTTTGGCCACCGAGGCTCCCCCAGGAGTTTCTCTTCGTATGTGGCAGACAAAATGGACGTCCCGGCCGATGCACATGGAGACCGGGGGGCAGTTTTGGGGTTCAGGGGTTTGGGATTTCGGGTCTAGGGTTTAGGGGTTTGGGATTTCGGGTTTAGGGTTTAGGGGTTTGGGATTTCGGGTTTAGGGTTTAGGGGTTTGGGATTTCGGGTTTAGGGGTTTAGGGGCCTGGGATCTCGGGTTTAATGTCGGGGCCTGAATAATTACCAATACTATTCTGGGGGCTCTTTATTATAATTATGGTATAATGGGCCCCCAAACCCTATTCTAATTATTAAGGCCCCTATATTAGGGGTGTGGGGGATTAGGGTTTAGGGTTTAGGGGTTCAGCAGCTCCGGATCGAGCCAGCTCCGGTCAAGCTGGCTATGTCGATCCTAGAAGAATACCCACGCACCCGGGAACCCTCAACCATGAGAAGCTCTGTTTCTGTATTCACCCTAGAACTAGAAAAAATCCCTAAACCCTAAACCCTAAACCCTTAAAACCCTACATAAACCCTAAGAAAAATCCCTAAACCCGAAACCCTTACAACCTACATCCTGAGCCCTTCAAGCCTACATCCTGAAGCAAAGAGTCCCTCAAGAGCTTCGGCGAATTCTAGCAGCACTTTGATCCTATGATACAGGCTTCTCTAAACATGGCTTTGTCTTCGTTGAATTTGGTTAACAAGCACCAGAAACAAAACAGGTTCAACGAACAACTAAAGCTTTGCAGGAAAAGAGCATATTCAACGAACGACTTAAAAGCTTTCAGTAGATATGATCAAGAGTGATTGGGGTCTAGGCTTTATAGGGTTTAGGGCTTAGCGTTTCGGGTTTAGAGTCTACATAACCCTAAACCCTAAACCCTAAACCCTAAAGAGTGTAGAGGGTATCGGCTAGGGTGTGCAGGTTGAGGCAGCTGGGCGCCAGTAGATATCTTTGAGTGGTACTTGTTGTGCGCAGCTTTTGTTTAGGGTTTAGGGTTTAGGGTTTAGAGTAGTTGGGGCTGAGTCGGCCCTATCTCTCAAGCACTGAACGCCCTAAACCCTAAACTCCACACCCGAACTCGAGCCCGAACCCAAATCATAATGGTGCAGGGTTTGTTCGGTGCTTGAGTCAGACACCCGGAGCCCGTCAGGTGAAACCCTGAACCCCTGATTCTTTGCCGTTGCTTTGCATGTTAAGAATGACCAGAAGTACTTCTTTGTTGTCCTGGGGCTCCACATAGCCCAAGGGCGGTATCATTTTTACAGCCTTCAACCCTAAACCCTATACTTGGAGCCTTACTAACAGCACGAGTTTCACTGGCATACTTCACAAATGCCTGGAATTCCCGGCTAAACTGAATGTTGAATTCTATGATGGCGAAGGAGACAGCGACACACAGCTGCAGCAGCTGAACCGGCTGAGACCCTTTCACAGAGTGATTCCCGTTTCTTTGCAGCTGGATGAGTACATGTTACACTTGTTGGGATACTATTATCACCTTATTCCCCTGTACCCTAAAACCCTGAACCAAAAAACGCGATATTCCCCTATAGAACTGATAGTTTTGATTTGTTTGGAGTTTCCGAGCTCCGCAACTAAGGTTTCCTATGACTATCTGAAGGAGGTCAACTGCAGTGGCGCAGCCTTCCTGATCTGCAATGCTAGCCTTGGCCTGACAGGCAACTTAGATCGCCACGGGAAGAACTTAAAGTGTTTGGCCTGACATAGATCGACATAGTTGATCAACAATTTGCAAGCTTGAACTCTTTGGGACCCGTGATAGAAGAAGACAGGCAAGAAGTGGTTGCAGTGCAGGAACTCTGTGAACGGTCGCAGCTCGAAGCTTCGGAACAAGTCCCCACCTCATGCGGCAATTGATGTGGTCCGATTGGCGCGGGATTTTTACGAGATGAAGCAGGCAATGCGAAAAAACAGATCGAGATGCAAGCCCTGGCCCATCGGCAGGTGGAGCGACGGCTACTTGTTCAGACACCCTGATATGATGACGTCTACGAACCCTGCCGTCATCCAGGTGGCGAAGCAAATCCCGGTAAAGTGTGAAAAGTTCGACGGCTTGTTCCACAGCGAGACTCGGAAGTGGTTTTCACGGACAGGGGCCAAAAAGCCCAGTTCCGGCTCCAAGGACATCTGTACTGCAGATGTTGCTTCCTTCGAAGCAAAGCACTGGCGGTTGATCGGCAAGATCGCACCCGACTGCTAGCTACCTGCTGAGGGAGAAAACTTGTAGAACAGGATCCAAGCCATTCTTGACTGCAGCCCACCTAGACCCCCAAAATTATGTAAATAAGATAGTGGCCCAACGCCTATAAAAGGCTATTAAGTATTATTCTACTAAGCCTAAGGCCTAGACCCTTAAACCCTGCACCCGAACCGTGCTTGGCCAAGTTCAGTTATTTTTTGGTTTTAGGATTCGGATATGTTGGGCTTTTGGGCTTGCTGTGTTAACCCTTCGCCAGGTGCTGGAAACAGCGTTCGCAAACATGATGTAAGTAGAGTGCTAAAGCTGTCGCTTCTGTAGCAGTTTTCCCATACTCAACGAGATCATACCCGATTAATTGCGATGGTGGCCCGGGGGAGTTACTTACAAGACACGTGAGATCGGGGTCTGAACATCAGAACAATATCTTGCAGCCAAATCAAAGTAGAATCTGCTTCTGCTGTGTGTGTAGTCTCGGTCGCAGTAGCAGTAGCAGTAGCAGCCATCTTTAGCGTCGTTGTCGTCATCGTGAGCCTCTTCCTTTTCTCGTGGTGGCGGCTCCATTCGTCGCAAGGCCTCCCCTTAAATCCGCCCCTCGCAGGCAAGACTTTCCGAAAATGTTCTGCCCCTCCAAAGGGTCCTGGGTATTGTTCTGGGTGATACTTACCCAAACCATAATGGCAATTCTTATTATCGAAGCCGTACTACTGTAATTGACATAAGTACTTACCACTGAGGACCCGTTGCCCCGCACATACCTCAAACTTATGCGCCGCCGGAGGTACCACGTTCCGTAGCGTCTGACATGCGCTTGGCGATGCACCAGAAACGGGCTATGGCCCCAGCAACACTGAATTCTCAACTTGCGGGTGCTAGAGTGGATAGAAAGTGCACAGTCCTTCTTGACATACTATAGGGGCCTAAATAATTATGTATACTATTTTGAGGGGTTCCTTCTTATAATTATAGTATAATGGGCCCCAAAACCCCATGCTAATTATTAAGGCCCCTACATTGCTTTCTTCAGACACTCTGTAGACCCCTTATGAACAAAAAAACTCTTTAACCGTCAAGCCCCGAAGCCCCTGGCTGCGGAGTTGCAGAAGCAAGTTCTCGAGCCGAAATGGAACAGGATCCGTCTCATTGTCGGCCCCTTCACCGAGTGTTCTTAGGCACACGGACCGTTTAAGGTGGGACATCCTGGAGGAGAACACACAAATCCACAACCTCAAGGTAGGTGAAGGCTTTTAGGTGGTTCTGGCAGCAGATCACGAAGCGCTTCGACATGCGAACCCAAAATACCCCTAAACTAAGCGAGCTTGAAGCACACACATGGTTTGACGTACCTTGGTTACTCGAGGACTGCCGTGAACTTTCGTAAGTTTCTTGAAGGATCCCCCCTACACTGCCGACCTTAGACCCGTATAGATCCTAGACCCTATCTTGCTTAAGTAATACAGGGTCCTCAATAATTGGAACAGGGTTTTGAGGTATAGTACACCATAACTATAGTACAAGCCCCAAGGGATAGCATTGGTAATTCTTCAGGAATCTATGGTGTGTATAAGGATTTGTTGGGTGTTTCTGGCCTAAACCCTAAACCCTAAACCCTAAACAGCTGACATCAGGTCAGCCCGCAAATGGCGAAGGAGTGGTCGCCCTACATGTGCTCTGGCTTAGACCCTATAGGGTTTAGGGTTTAGGGTTTAGGGGTTTAGGGTTTAGGGTTTAGGGTTTAGGGTTTAGGGTCCTAAACTCTAAGCCCTAAAAGGGTTAAGTTAAGGGTTCAGCGGTTCGGCCTCGGGCTTTTTTTAATTTTGTTTGAAGGGGGGGTGGGTTCGGATTTAGGCTTAACGGTTTCGCGTTTCGGCTGTATATTTTTACGTTTTGCGGTTTGGGGTTTAGGGCTCTGGGTTTGTTTAAGGGTTTCGTGTTTCAAGGTTCAGGGCTTCAGGGTTTGAGGGCTTGAATCCGGTGCGAAGAACTGTCGGTTTAGGGTTTAGGGTTTAGGGTTTAGGGTTTAGGGTTTAGGGCGTTTTTGTGACTTGGTGCTCAGAGCAACCGTTCGAGTCAACGGCGGTTTTGACATCGAAAGCTTGGGGTGCAGCTGGAGAACGGGAAAACCTCTCCATAGAGCCGGAACCCTATACGCACTAAACTACATGTAATCCTAACCCGTGCACCCCAAACCCGCAAGCCCTAAACTCGGAACACCTGGAGGGCTGCATTTGCCTGAGTACGTAGTGTGATCATGGGTTGCAAGACCGGCTTGCCTGTGACTAGCAACTTATTAACTATTCGGCTTTCGGGTTTGGGGTCAAGCGCTTTGGTGTTAGGGTTCCTTGTTGTTCGGGGAACGATATCCCAACATTATCAGTAGATGGCAGTTGTTCAAGGATAGGCCAGCGACCACAGCTTGTGAATCGAATCGAAGCAGGGGAGCTTCTGTTCTTCGAAAGTTGATTTCGGCAGCAGCGTCGCAGGTACGCAAATGGTCGCATGTTCCACCGCAAGGACTGGAATGAGCTTCCACAGCAGGGTCACCGTGGGGCTTTTGTTGCTCAATACGGCTGTAAGTAGGGGACAACCCCTAAACCACAGCGCCCCCTTCTCTAACCCTAAAGGTTACGTGCTCCAAGTCTTTTATAGTTACGAATAAACCATGACTGCCCCAATACTATATTCACGGTACCCTATCCTAAACTTCCAGTGTATAAAATACGAATCCCAATCACACCTCAGGGTGCTTGGGGCCATTTTGGAGCTGTAATGGGGCAGCCTAAGCCCCGCATAACCCCTAAACCCTGCACCTACTCAGGTCAGTCTAGGTCTGGGGGTTCTTGGTGTTTCGGTTCCTTAGAATTTATAGGGTTTAGGGTTTAGGGTTTAGGGTTATGGCTGAGGTCGCGCAGACGCGCGTCTTTGGACTGTCCAGGCATTCCGCGGGGTTCTTCGATGCCCGAGAGCCACGACTTCAACCGTAAACCTTTAGGGTTTTGGGTTTAGGGTTTAGGGAACCGTAAACCCAAAGTCAAGATGCAGGGACGGGTCCAGGGCCCTCGTGAAGTGTCTGTAATGCTGCCCTACACCATAAACCCCTATTACCCAATAGACCAAAGAAGCCAGA